CTCAACGACAATATCTCTGAGTCTTTCGCCTCAATTCTGGTCACTATTTGCTGCAAACTCTGGGCTTTTGTCTGATAGATGACCAGCTCTTCGTGAGCTCTCATGTATTTGTCGACTTCGGTGTCCACCCTTTGCTGCAACTCCTGTGCCGTCCGTTCCCACTGAGCGCTGGCCGTCGTGAACCGTTCGCTGTCTTTGTCGCACTTCTGTCGCAAATACAAGCATTCGTTCTCCAGTTTAGCGCTCTGTGTCTTCAGGTTCTCCATGGAATCGCTTTCCATTTGCTTCAGACTTGACTGCACTGTTTGCAGCGTTTGAATCATTCTGTTCTGATTGTCGATATTCTTAGCCATCATCTGATTCTCATGGATCAGCTTCTGCTCGTTGTTTCGATGCAAATCGCGTTCAGAGCGCAGTGTCTCTACAGTCATCTCATATCTGTTGACCTTCTCGGTGATGGCGGCCACCTCTTGCCTCAAGACAATCACCTGTTGTTCGTGTTTTTTGACGCTTTCGCTCAAAACGGTATTCCTTTCCTTCAGTGACACGTTTTCTCTCTGGAATTGTTCGCAATTAGTCTTAAACATGTCGTTCCGTTCGCTAGTAAACGACAGTTCTGTCGACAGTTTCGCGATCTCTATCTTCGCCGCCGAGAGCTCTGCTCTAATCTTATCGCTCGATTCGGTGACGGCTTTGACGCGATTAGAGCTCTCTTTGCGGAACTCTTCGTACTCTCGTTTCACGCGATTTAAGTCGGACTTCAAATCGTTGTACTCTTCGGCGCCGGGAGTGCGAGGATTGGGAGACGACGTCAGAGCCGAGAACGACCGTTGGCTCACATTCTGCTCGTCACCCATGGAGGCAATCATCTGATGGTAGAGATCTCGCTGTCTGACCAGCGCTTCCACTATCTCCGTCTGTTGCAGGCGTTCAGACCTCAAGTTCTCCATCTGTCGCAGCGCTTCGTCCAACTCTCGCCTCAGTGTCTGAGTCTCACCGCCGATGCACTCGTCGTCCAGCTTCTGGAGCTTATCGTTCGCGTCCCTCAAGGCGTTCATCAGCTCCTGATTCCTGGTCTGCAGCTCTTCAATGTCTCTAAATGTCACCAACTCTTGCGGCAAATCCATGGAAGACGACGACACGTTGGGGTTGAGGTTGAGATCGCGCGGCACTGAGAAACCCCTCGACTCCTGGACACTCTTGACGAGCGCCCGCACCTGTTTGGCCAGCGTCTTGTTCTCGGCGTCAAACCTCTGGATCTCTCTCTCGAACTGTTTGTTAATTCTGATGATTGAGTCCTTCTCTTGAAGCCAATGCTCGCGTTCGGTCATCACAGCCGACAACTGGCTCTGCATATCGGCCACCGTCTGAACGGCTCTCTGGTGTTCCTGGACTTTGCGGTAGAGTAGCGGCGCGTTCTCCTCGGCCTCGGCCGCCAATTGTTGCAAATGCTCTCTCAGGACAACGTTCTCCTTCTTCTCGTCCTCCAACTCCTGTCGAGCGGCGAGTAAGTCGTCAAACACTTGAGTAAAACTCATGTTTTTGTCCAAAATCTTGCGAGTGTTGGCCGCCATCGGGAACTGCCGTTTGAACGCCAACTCCAGGTTCTCGCGCGAAGTGTTGGCCGACTCTTTCAAGTCCTCAATCTCTTTGGCTAACATCGAGTTCTGTTGCGACGACTCATTCAACTGTTGCTGGAAATGGCGCTGACTTTCATTGAACGCCTCCTCGAGTCCATTGTGCGCCTCTTTCGCCGTCTGAAGCATTCTCTGCATCTCTTCGATGGTCTCCACCAGAGATTCGTTGCGTTTCCGGAGTTCTTCGTTCGCCTCTTTGTGCAAATCAATCAAATTGTTTTGAGCGGACGTCTCGTTGTGGAAGTCCTCCTCGAGTTGGGCCGACATGTGCTGTATTTCGCCAATTCTTGTCGACAGGCTCTCAATGTGTCGGTCCTTCTTCTCCAGCATTTGCTTCAAGTTTTTGATTTCATCCAAATATCGCACGTTTTCATCGGTTTTCTGCTCTAAACTCGACTGCAATTCAAACGACTGAAGAGCTCTTTCGCGCCGAACGGCTAAGAGTTCGTTCACTTTGACGTTCAATTCGTTGTTCAGCGCCTGGATCTGCTTCTGGTAGAGATCCCTCTCCTGCGCCATCCGGTTCTCCTGGTGTTGAACCGATAGGCACTTCAGCTCCAGTTCCTCGGCTTTAATACTCGTCTCAACCCTTCCCTCGCTGTTGGACAGCAGTCGTGAGCAGACGTTCTTCAGCTCCGTCTGCAAGTGATTGATCTCTTCCTGTCTTCTGTCCAACAGTTGAGTCATATCCAGCTTTTCGGAGGAATATCTCTCGAGTTTCTCTTTCACTGAATTCAGTTCATTACTGAACGACTGTTTGCCTGCAAATGGCACACAAGACACACGCGTGAGTCACCTAAATCTGATCCACACATTCACTTACCTTCGAGTGCCTCGAAGTACTCGTGTCTCGACTTCTGAAGTGCTTCTTCCGTGTCCTTTAACTGCGCCTTCAGTTTGTCGACAAACTCTTCGCTCATCTGATGCCGCGATCGCGAGTTTTGGAGCTCTCTGTCGGCGGTGAAGGCCTTCTGGTCGGCGGTCGCTATCTTCGCCTCCGACTCCGTCTTCAGGGCGTCGATCGTCGACTGATTGGCCGCAAGCCGTGCCTCGAGTTTGGCCTTCGCTGCCACCGACAGTTGGCTCAACTCATCGCCGGTCAACACGTGGACTAATAGCGCGGTGTCTTTGTCAGCGACACCAGCCATGGTGTCAGCGATTGTCCACTCAATCGGTCACTAATTGGTCACTAAATCAGTGCATTGAACACAACATCCAAACGACTTCTCAATGAATGCAATGAATGCGTGAATCAAACAAACCGTTCAAAACGTCACGTGTTTTGGCAGTGAATGCATCGACGCGTTGGTTGGCTATGAAAAGGGGGGACTTTTGAACAGCACTTTCACTGCCATTCACAACACCAATAGATACAGCACTCAATTCATGCACACCTTTTGGATCTGAATATACCATCGATTATCTCATCCATTGGCCATCGATTTGAATTCTCAGACCAGTTCTCACTAAATATAATCATTGTTTTCATTAATCGATGGCTTTATTGCCATTTTATTTGTTTAATACTTTTATAGGGAATACAGTAATTGAAAATAGGATATAATTTTGTGTTTTTAATAAATTTTATTCAAATGTTTAATTAAACACTAATTTTTACTATATTTTAATCTCGCAATCAATATAATGTTCGCTACAAATGATAGAAATGACATTAGAAATGACTACTAGGTACAAATCTAAACAATTTGTTGAATGCATTCATTTTGCACACACTTCTGGAGGCAATGAAACTGTCTCTTCATTTCGTACATAATGACAGCGGAGGCGACGGCACTGTTAAGGCTGTCCACACCGGCAGACAATGGGATCCTAAGCCTGCGTCCGATGTAATCATAGGCCAGTTTGTATGACTGATCGCTGAGACCATGAGTTTCGCCGCCAATCACAAGAACGGCCGGCCTATCGATACCCGACGTGTAAAACCTGGTCTCACAGTAATTGGTGACAGCGATGGCAGAGTTGCGGTACTTTGCGAGCTCTTCATTGCTCTCGTCGTATGAATCGTCTCTCAAAACAGTCACTTCTTTGGTCTGGGAATAGGTTTTGGTGATTGTGTTCACTGTATGCGAGGGTATCTCGTGTTCACCACTCCTACCCATTGGCTGATAATCGTTGGACTCAGCGATGTAGAGATCAAAGGGTTTGTCAATTGGCAGGTAATTGAAGAGTAGCGGCCACTCAACGCCACTCACAATCGGCACCCGGAAGTGACTGCCGGCTCCCGCGCGCACCACTTTAGGCTCCCATACATCGGCGCACCCTTTGGTCAGCACCAGACTCATGGCGCCCACAGCCGCCGCACATCTAACCATTGTTCCCAAGTTTCCCGGGTCTCTGATATTATCACCGATGAGAATGAGTGGTAATGTGTGTCCATTGGATCTGTTAGTCTGATTGGTAGGCCTTTGGGCGACGGCAATGAGGCCAGGACTGTTCACCACATCACTGAACAACTGTAGGTCTCTGAACAGCACTTTCTTAAGCTGAACGCCATTCGCCACCATCTGCTCCAAGCCTTCAATGTCTACTAAATTCTCTTCTTTCGAGAAGTAAATGGTTTTCAAAGACACACCGGCGTTGATGGCGTCCCCTATCAACCGCTTGCCTTCGAGTATCATTAGGTTCTGTCGTTCCCTCTGTTTTCTGGACTTTATGTCTGACATTAATTTGCTGTTAGTTTTGGACATAAGATATGATTAAATTGTTACCACTTTTTCAATACAATACTCACACAAACTCTTTGTTATTGTCACCCAATCTCGTGTAGACAGGAATGCCAACAATTCTCGGCTTTAGTACCGCTTCCTCTTTGATTGTCTGTCTATTATCACGTCTTTTGCCATTCATGTCATCTCTGGTTCCGTGATATCTATTATCGCTTTTTATGGATTTCTGTTTGTCTTTCACCGAACGCTTCTTCGGGTGTCTTTCATAGTCATCGACAGACTCCTCGTCAGCGCCTGTCATATAGTCTTCAGTGAAGCCGTCGTCGAAATATCTGTTGAACTGTTGTCTGTCTTTGCGTTTCGGCAACTGTTTTGGTCTGTACTCGAGTCCACCGGAACTGATGGGCTCTTCGTAATCGGATTGTCTGAAGAAGTCTTTCCCGGATTCCGTCAACACCTTCACCGGTCTTCGGCTGAATGTCTGCCGTTTCGCTCGCATTGCGGACACAGTTAAAGACATGGAGGAAGGCTTCGAGTGACCACTCATTGTGACCACCAATTGGTGGCGAA